AATAACTGAATTCTATAATTCTGAATTCTTTAGGCTTCACAGCCAAAATGTTGTTTTACATTTTTTCTCTTTATTTATTCCATGTTTTTTCCTCTTTATTTATACCATGTTTATTCCATGCTGAAAAGAGGAAAAAAAGTAACAACATTTTGGCTGTAAAGCCCTCACAGCCAAAACGTTGTGTTTCTTTTCTTCTCTTTTCATCATGGAATAAACCTATAATTTATTCCTTTAATACTACATCGCTTTCGAGTTCTCGTGGGTTTGTGCCCTCTGGCTCCCGCTTCAGGTCAGCCCTCCACCACTGGGGCTCGAACCCGGGTCTCCTGCGTCACTCAACAGGGGACCAGCCGGCTGAGCTAAAGGGAGATCTCTCCTCAGCCCAGCGGCTGAGGTCCCTGCTATTCACAGGGAAGGGTGGTGACGACACTGCGCTGGCAACCAGCTCGCACATCCTGTAATGTCGGCCATGTCTGTTACAATACGTATATCACTACGTGCGGACTTACAGTTTTAAGCAGTGGAAGTGACTGCACAAGTAACTGTTCATAACGGAACCATCAATGCTTTGATCTCTAAATCCCACAAAACTGGTCTTCATGTTTGTAATGATTCTGTTCATATTTGCTAAAAAGTGCAAGATTTCATTATGACTAAACCCCAGTCGAAATCTGTACAAATTCTGCAGCGCTAGACACAATCATTAAACCGAAAGTGCCAGCCAAGTTCATTGTAGCTTCTACAGTACATGCATTTAGTGGACAACGTAACAGGTTGTACTGTACATACACTGAGGTAAGCATTGTTATCTCATAATTAAGAAATAATTCATTATCTTGTAATTATGAGATAATTTGTTATCTTGTAATTACGAGATAAATACAGTATCTCATAATTATGAGATACGTACAGTATCTCATAATTATGAGATAAGGGGGCAAAGTTTTTTTTCCCCTTAGTGGCAGCAATGTGCTTCTGTAAATGCCCTATACATTTTGAAATTTAAAGCTACTGGTATATTAATAATCCAAGAACAGGCCATGTATCTTGCCACTATTGCCTGAGACACAACTGGTTTAGCAGTCTTCTGTCCTCCAAAAGCAAACATGGGATATCTCTAACAAATTTAACAAAAATAGATTTTTTGGGACATTCTCCTATAAAAGGTGAAGCTCACAGTGTGAACTATGGTGGGAGGGGATCAGTTATGTTTTGCAGCTCTTTTGCATCTGGACCTTGGAGTCTATATAAGGAAAGGGGGGCGATCATGAACTTCAACATGTACTGTAGCAGCATAAGTGACCAAACATCTGGCCCCCTTTGCAAAGAAGTTCAAACTTGGAAACCAATGACCACTTTCATCATGGCAATAATCCAAAGCATACATCCACATCCAAAAAAGAAGTGGCCAACCTGAGCTTCAGACACCAATCCATTCTAATACTGTCTGTAGCTCAAACTCAAAAAGGATGTTCACAAAAGGGAATCAAAGTGTCTGAAGGACCTAGAGCAACTCTATCTGGGGCAATTTTCAAACATACCCCCCAGATAGTGCATCTTCTAAAGGGTTCTTGTTAATGTAACACATAACAGAGAAGGATTCACAAAATACTTTTGACTTTATTCTGGACAATACTGTTAAGATGACAGTATGACATTATTATTTTATTTGTCATTAGAGGTACAGTATTCGTATATTTAGAGGACACTATAACTTAAAACTGGCATTGTCCTACATACAGTATACCTTCATCTAATTTTGTCATTACTACAGCTTACGAACCTTATGAGACAACTATACCAATTATAGACCAAAGCTGTTAAAGTTGGATTTAATAAGCTCAGGTACTATATCTTGAACAGTCAGAAAGTAAGCAATTAAATTTAACCACTTTCAATCCAAAATGGTAAAGACAACTAAATAACACAATTCAGAATTTCAAAGAACTGCACTATATTTTTAAAAATAAGATTTAATATACAGTACTTGACTTCATTTCTAACACTTTCATTCACACACTTAAAAGTGTGAAAAAATCCTATATTTCTATACCATATGGAAAACACTAACTTCTATATTGCTTTGATAATATTTTAGCAAAGATGAAAAACACAAAAAACTAGGATCTTAAAACTATGGGAATGATACCACAGCAAGATTATGGTCTCATCCAGGTACCAAACAGATGGATCTTGTAGAGTTCAGATCTGCCCAGCATTCAAGAAGAGAACAGAATAACAGCACCTGCTGAACAAAGAGAATATTTCTAAACGAGCACTTGCACACAATTAAACAGAAGAGGCTGGCCACAATTGTTACCAACCCATTCTTTCTTTCAGTGACAAATGGCAGACAAGGTTTGCATGCACCTGCATCTGCTCATTTTGAGTAAGTAGGGTTGGCCTCCAGCCAGTGCTCACTACTTCAAGTGCCGCCAAATAAGGTACTTATTGATTTGCAATACTGCATAATAGGCCATCAGCTTAATTATTACTGAAGAGACATTGTTCCGGATGTTTCATATTTATTTTTCTGAAGCTTGCGGGGATGAGTATGAATCACTTAAATGTATGAATTTGCATAACTTCAGAACAATGCACAGTGCTGTTACTGCATTCACCACCTTTGAATTCAAATTAAAAAAAAATTCTCATGGATTGAGAATGCAGTCCTATCAACTTGCACATTGGATTGGGTTTGACTCTTGCTACAGTAAATGGAAATAAACAACACCTCTATAAGGTCCCTCTGTCAGGTAGTGAGTTACAACAGATAAATTCAATGGTGAAGACCAAGGAACATTTTGGAAACAACTCATAAACAAATTTTCATGAAGACTCAGATCAAGAGAAGGGTATAAAACACTTTGCAGACCCTTAATATCTCTTTTGAGCATAGTGAAATCCATTATCTAGAAGTAGAAAGACTCCCACTCACTACCAAGATCAGGCTAGGCCTAAAGCCTTTGTCACACTACAGGACTCGACATGACTTCTAGTCGGAGAGGATGTCAAATTAAACGACTGAAGTTGCTGAATTTCACTGCCTTTTCTGTCCTAGAGGGTGTCAAATTATACGACTGGGAATCACAGGGGATGACCAATTACACGATTCCCACACAATTTTTCATTACAGTTCCAAAACTCGCATTGTGCCGCAAAAGTACCGCGAGGTCGCCTCGTTTTGGCAGCCAATCAACGTGGAGCACACTGGAACAAGACGAGGAGCACCTCACAAAAGTAAACAACAAACACAAAACATCAAATAGACATCTTTGCTGGCTCCAAAGTTTGACGAGCATCTCATCCATTTGCACAGTCCAAAGCACTCGCTGTATTGTATGTATTGTATTTCCGGCTGAGCGTTCATTGACTGTTGACTGTCGCAGACACAAAAGCCCACCCCTACGAAACAGTTTACAGTTTGATTTTATCTTAGCAAGTCGCAGAGAGTCATAGGAGCTCTTGAGAGCGCAATGATTGAGTCGCTGGGGGTGTCAAGCTACACAACTGACGGTAATGGGCGCGCACTGCGACTCTCTACAGCTCGCTGTGATTTTCTTACGATTATGTAAATGAAGGCTACGACTGAAAATCTTAGGAAACGTCATGTAGCGTGATGCTGGCTTAACTGAGCAGCTGAGCAAGGTCGAAACTGGCTAGGGGTGTCGCACTAAAGTGAAAGAAAACTTTGAACGAGTTTTTGATCAGAAGTCAGTGCCCAAGATGTCCATGAGTCAGTAATATTCTGGTCACATCACAAACCCAACCCAACAAGTTTTTAAGTCACTGGAATTATAAAAAACGACATCCTCCTTTTGTATCAGCGTTTGCTCAGTGGGTCCTTTGTGAGAGTCATCTAAGGAAATGGATACCATCTAAGGATACCGACACCTGGTATCACTGGCAAACATGGTTGTTTGGGGTTTTTACGGAACTAAAAGAAAAGTCTCAAATCCTACAATGTGTTTGCAGCAAAACACCTAAGTGATCCTGAAAACACAAGGAAAAAGGTTTTGTAGTCCGACAACACAATTTTAACTGTGGTCTTTTAAAAAAAAAGTTTAAAAATGCATTTTGCAGTTTCACAAAATAGAACACAACAGGAATAATACGGACTACTTTTTCAATCACTGTATGTAGATCAATAAGTAAGAATCCTTAGAAAACAGATTTGTTTTATTTCACACAAGTTATTGGAATAGTAAAATAACCTTTTTTTTTCCAATGAATCAGAAGACTTTTTAAAAATCTGCAAAAGCCTTCTTGTGAATTATTTATTGTTTAAGCACCATACAGGTATGTAGCATCCAACTCGATCATCCAGTAGCATAGTTATGATCAAAGATCCTCTAGTGTGTTAAAAAAAAAAACATACCCTGAAAGTTAATGAAGAAGAGCTGTAAACAGTCATTAAAATACTCACATCTTGGATGTCTTTACTTTACGTATTGCTAACACAGGACTATTTAGTTTAAATAGTGAAAATGATAAAATACAAATCCTTTCCATAACAAAATAAAATTGTCTTTTAAGAAGTGGCTAATAGGATTTAGTATAAAATTTGTTTCTCTTATTTTTTTCAGGTTAAATCATGTTTTGTGTCATTCAGTCATACTGTAGGTTTAGTGGGAGTGAGAGGTGGGGAGGAGGGTTTGATTAGTCTTCTGATTTATGATTGATGTCTTTTACAGTTACATAAACGATGCTCTCTAATACAGGACATACACAGATACAGTATAATCATTATAGAAGTGTTAAATTGTTAATTGATAAATAAAAACAGCATATAAAACTTACACACATATAAAACACGGCATTTAATTTGTATGTTGTTTTTTTAGGTTTCTTTAGAGAAGGCAGAATAATCTACAAAATACAGTCAACTGTTTGAAGGTCTGGGAAAGATCTTTGTGGATAATTCCTTATATGGTCCTAGACAAGGTTAATATGTAATCATATAACCTAAAGGAATATAACCACTGAACATTGAACTTTTACAAGCTTGTGGATTTACACTGAAACCATTCCAGACGAGATCAATAAGACAGAAATTCAGCCGGATAGCGAGAATAAAAGAAACACATTTCTGCTTTGTAGTTCTGTTAGACAATATAAGGACAAGAAGATGGAAGCCCAGCAAGAATCAGTTTTACATTTTAAAATATCTGTGGATGAGAATGAGCCAAAACGTGGTGTTCTTGCAGTGCTCGAGAAACTGCGTCCTAACTGGAAGCCAGAGGAGGTTAAACTGAAGGCAAGTACGTAAAACTGGGAATAAAGGGATAAAGGGGGGATATCGACAAGCATCTTGCATACCGAGAAAGATGCACAATCAAAAACACGAACTTCGGAGTATAAATCAAGAATTCAGCTTATGTACAGTTTATATACTGTAGCTAGCATAAAATAAAATACCTTATACTTCCAATTTTTACACCTGCCAATTGATAAAATTATTTCTTTTAAAAAATCAGTTGCTGTACATACAGGATTCTATCAAAAAACATACTCTGAAATTTAAACAAACTTTAATTCTTAATCAATTCTTTAATTAAGTTTTTTAATTCTTAAAGTTCTTTTTTTAAAATAAGAGAGAAAGTTTAAACACATTTTTTGTTTCCATCTTTGGCTGTGAGTCAGAGCTGTAGCTGTTTTGGGGAGGCCCCGTTGGGGAAGGTGTGACAGTGGAACAGCCAATCTCAGCATATTTGCACGAGACCCATGTGGGTCAGTGTGAAAACATTGACACTATACTGTAGTTAAGTGATGTAATACTTAATACTGCAGTAACCTTAGTTTCTCAGGAGTGTTTATATTGGAATCAGTTTATTGTGGTTCATGCTATAGCTACTGCCTATATCATAAAAGGGCATTCTGATGGTCAGGATAATCTGCACTTCATCTCAAATTAGCCTAAATAACTATAACCTTTGCTTTCCTTCAAAAGTTATGAAATCATAGTTAAAAATTTCTTTAAATGTCATTGCCTGGTGTTCAAGGCTAAGCTAGTTCACCAAAGAATCATAGGATAACGTCCTGTAAAGTATATCGATTGAGGTTTTTAACAATACATACTGTAAGTGCTGTGTTATGTTCTCTTTCCGTAGAAAGGGTCAAGTGTATGTATTACATTAAATACTGCATTTTGTTTCTAACAACAATTGTCAAAAGGTTGCAACAATAGTGGGTACTACAGGAAAAAAATGATTATACACATATCCTGTGCTGCTTGTTTCCCATCCTTTTTAATCTGTGGTCTGAAATATTTGTGAAGGGCCTTTTTATAGATAAATACCCAAATATTTCCATGTGTTAATTCAAAGACCAACTATTGCAAGAGGCTGTGTAGTCCCTTGGCAAATTTAAAGTCCTGAAGAAGTGACAGTTTTATTCATGTCAGCAAACAGTGGGGCAATCTCCAAGAGAAATAGGCTTTGCATTGTGAGGAATCCCAGCAGAGGGGCCTGGAGATCATTCAATCTTAAACTCTGTTAGAATGGAATAGTGTGCAGAACTAGGAAGGGCTAATTCCCAGAGTGCCTGACCATTGCAGCTCGTTGGTTCAGACTGTTTTTTTTGGCACAGACTCGCATCAATGAGAGCAAAGGCAATGGCTTGTTAGGGAGATGTGAAACAAAAAAATGACTTTTCTCGGACCAGACAGGTAAAACTGTGCAAAGACAAGGAGGCACTATTGAAATATTTACCTCACAAAGACAGTACTGTTCTCATATGCATTTAAATTGATATGCATATACTAGCACAAAATATTTCTCGTCTTTGGTTAAAACATAAAAAAATAAATTTCTGCATCTGTACATGTACTTTATTGCATTACATTCAGAATATAATAACTGGGTTTACTATTATATTGGTGAAGAAGGTACAGTACAGTGTATCATTATGTTGTTTTTAAATCTCAAACATCCAGTGTTTGTACATCAAAGGTCTTGAATGACCTTTCACTAGTCAGAAATTGCCATCAAAAATCCAAATAAAAATGCCTTCAGGGTTGCAAAACTATTCCAAATTGATTTTTGTTTTCAGCAGCCTTTTCTGTTAAATTCCCAAACAGGATTCTAAAAAATTTCATATTCGATTTCTCAAGAGAATACATATTTTCCAGATCGATATATTTCCAATTGTATTCACACATTGAAAAGAATGACATCATGTCACCAATAAGCAACGAGTTTGAACAAATGTCTAAAATACTTAAGCATTATTTTTCTATTTCAGCTAATAATAACAAATAATCCATTTATATAGTATTTTCATCCCAAAGAATCCAATAATAACAGCAATAACTTATTTACAACACACATTTCTAAACCCAAGGATGCTGAACAGTACATAATGATAAAGAAATTGAATAAATAATAAATACAATAAAACAAGAACATACTGTACAAGAGAAACTGTAAGACAATCAGGCCCAGTAAATAGTATTTGGAGTTTAGATTTAAACACTTTCAAAGAAGCTGCTTCCTGAAGAGTTGCAGGAAGGGCAACCCATAACATTGGAACAGCAACAGAAAAAGCACATGACCAATAGTCCAACACAGGTGCAATATGCAAAGGGACAGCCCCAACTGAAGAGAGCCTACAGGATGGAGTGTTTACATGAAGGAGTTCTGAAATGTACTGTATAAAACAGATTATGCCAAGTGATTTGTGCATACGGGGGGACTCAAGACACCCACTCCTGAACTGCTTCTCCCACCTGGGTGATACAGTACACAGTATGTAACAGGAACTATGCTTCATCTGCCCCACTACACAGCAGATCTGGTTAAATGAGTAACTGCCTCAACCAAATCAGTTAGGGGGGATTTGCATCAGGCAGATTTAGTCAACCCCACAGTGGAAGTAAGTGAGAACACTGGAATTAACATCCTAATCTCATGATTAAAGTGACACAATGCCTTTACTTACCCAGTAGTCAGGGTCTTGGTTTAATCCCCCATCGGAATGACAGTAGCTCTAAAAGCACTGTTTCCGCTGCCTACACACTGGGGCATTGGTTTTCAAATTCTGGTCTAGAGGGAAAAACGCCACCTACTGGCTCACTAAAACTTACAGCAGCAACCTGCTTTTCCCTTAAAATCTTCGATCACGGTATTAACCAGGCCATCCTGTGCTTCACTTCTGACATCTGACCAAATCAGACTAAGGTCATAACACTACTGTCATGCAATACAATCATAATACTTTGATAGATGCATTGTACTTCCCCATTAAGTTAGTACTTTCCAAGACAAGTGCTGATCTGCAGATTCATGGATGTTATTATATAAACAGGAAAAAATATTTTAAAATTTATTTTCAAAGGGTTCAGAATTAATCAAATCAAGATCAAGATGTTAGCAAGTTTATAACAGCAATTCAAACCTCCCAAGAATCCTTTGGCTGACACTGAGCAAGTCTTTGAGAATGGTCTGCTTTCATCGAGCCAGTTGCTGTATACATTTCAGATTTACTTGAAATGAGACTTCCTCCAAATGGCTTCCTCTTCCACCTAGAGTTTTGCTCCATGGTGCATTTTTAAGCAACATTTGGAGCACACCGACTAAATCCATTGGTGTTTGGTCTTTGTTTTTTTTCATCCCATAATGTTTTCTTTATACTGCTGCCACTTAACTTTTGTTTTGCTGTGCATACACTGTATGCATACTGTATGTACAATTAATTTTGTACTATTAACAAGAACAACAAGATTTATGTGTTTCTTTCTGGTGAAAGATGGTTACCTCTTCCTACACAATTGTCCCTACTACATATCCTTTAATTTACAATCAGAACATCATACTGTACATTAAGATGTGTATGTCTACATCAAACACTGATGCATATTTGATGCCATATTATGTTTACTCTGATCTGGGCAAATGGCTTATGTAAATAATGTGGCTGTCACTCCCGAAATCTGTTTTTTGAAAAAAGGAATGGCATTCACACAGATGTCAAAGGCATGATGTGCATGTGTAATTTCGTGTCCTGTGAGGTTGATCTGAAACAAAGTATCATTTTACTATTAAAAACTAAGTAGCGGCAGGAAAACCCCTTCCAATCCTCTTAATAAAACCATCTCCCCTCAACATGTTGCCATTTACAGAAATTAATTTTTAAAAAGCCTTTGACATAAACTGAACTTCTTTAAGCATCTGCATTATTCTAAGTCCTCCCCTTTCCTTCAAAGAAAAAAAAAGGAATCGGATGGAACAGGCATTGAATGATTTGACAAGCACGCACTTGATCCCTGTCCAGCTGGAAGGGAATTGTCCTCATCAGCAGCTTTCAGCAAAGGATGTCTTTTTATTTTTACCCTTTGTCTGAGTCTCTCCAGATCCTCCCTTCACTTTAAGTACAGTGCTCTATAGTAGGTATGCCAAGTGGTTTTGAAATTAAAATTACAGTCTTTTCTTTCTCAGATGTTATTGGAAAGAACGTGTAATTTATAACAACATGTTAGTAGAACAGGATGTTCACTGAAACCTGCCAATTCATCCCTTTATAAAGTTAACAACTAAAAAAAAAAGAAAAAGAAAGTGCAAAAGTTTGCTGAACAGGTATGATTGGTATTAGTTCAAAAAGATGTGGTTTCTTATCTCATGAGATGTGAAAGGAAACCAAACGTTTTGGTGAAACAATTAATTTACTACACATCAAGCATCCTTTAAAAATGTTTTTGAATAATATATTTGCAAAACTCAAGTGATGTGGCAAGGAAAAACATAAGTTATTGTTTTTTAAGGACACTAGCAAACATACTACTAAAAAGCATGCCTGAGCTTTCTAACAGAAAGAGTCAGGTGAAAGCATTGAAACAGACCTTGTGATAAAAACCCTGTTATTTTTATTTTTAAGTCCTTGGTAAAAAAAAAGCCATGAAAATACCCCTGCTGTGACATGCTTCGGGATCAATAAGGTCTAAGGCTACATATTTTTTTTTTACTTCTAGTTAATTGTGAGGCAAAATAATTCTGAGGGTCCTTATTCAAAAGGCTGTTAGCAATTCTTTTCTGGACTCTATAGAAAAGAACAGCCCCTGACAACATTCACACAGTAACCTGTGACTAACCACTTATTAATAGCTCTCTGTTAATCCAATGCATTCATCGTCATTTATACTGTACTTTCGTTCAACATCAAAAGATCTTGTCCAAAGGTTACTACTGTACATACTGTAGCACTGCCCTGATTAAGCTATTCTAGAAAAAAATCGTAGCCCTTTACAAATGTAATGAAAAGAAT